CCCATATTTGTTAAAGAAATTATTCCCCTTGACGTTTGTTTAGGCTGCACTTTGATAAAATGCTGTCTATGGTCCACTTTCTTAGCTTGGTATTCAGCAGACTCTTATAGATTTATTTCTCTTTGCATTATCTTATCTTCCTTTCTAGCTTATTTGGGCTTCCTTTTCATATTTTAAGCTACATTTTGGGGCATAGACAGATCACCTTAGTAATTGTATACTAAAGCACTGCAGTGTTCTAAAGATAATTTTGCAAGACTTTGGCATATACTTAACCCCACTAACTATCTAAAGATGAGAAAATAAGTTCTTTTCGTGTTGTCTGTGAACAGAAAGGACAGATTAACTGCTGAAGGTGATTTCAGACTTAAAGAAACTTTCTTCAGGTTGATGGCACCGTAACAATTTCTGAAGCAATATAAATCTGGCCTTGAATCTAGATGATTCACCTGATGGGGAAAATAATGAGGATTTTTCTTTGTGTTTCCAATTTATATCCAAATGTCTTTTCACAGGTACACACTTTATGCTTAAGCATGTTTTTAAAACATATAGATATAAAAGGGCATTAGAAATGCAAATATTTCAGTTTTCCCACACTTTCCCTATTGGAAAAAAAAAAGTGGTAACATTTAAGCTTCCTAATTTATTACAATGCTTGCCATTTTCTCAAAACAGGCCTCGTGTATTTTCAGTAAAGTATTTGTCATTCGGCTTTAAGTAGATGTATTAGCAAATTGCCTTATGGGAATTGCAAAAAGTGTAGAATCTGATATAGGGCTGGCAAATGAAATTAATCTTTAAAAAATGTATGTTCAGTATCCCTCACCCTCAGAAGCCCCTGACTTCTAAAGCAGGGATAATGAAAACCCAAAACGTTGCAGAATTAGCTTACAGTGATTTAAATTATTAGTTGAAATGTATCAGCTTGGTAAAGGATTATTTAAAACTCATTTTATAAAGCTTATTGCTTTAAAAAACCACAAATGCAATGATTCTATCAGCCTAGAATTTAGTTTTCTGTGCCTGTCGTCCCTGTACAAGTAAGAAGTGGCTAGATATAGCCTTAACATGTTCAGAACATCTTTCCAGATATCCTAAAGTGTGAAATGTTCATATTTTTCTAGGTTTATACACTTTTATTTTCTATCAATTACTGTTTGACTTAAGTAGACTAGAATTATTGAATGTAAATTTCAATTAAGGTATTTTAAAAGAAATGATCATTAGTTTATAGTCAATATTTAAAGGAGAGTATATATATTTATATATTATATATATAAAATCCTTGTTACATTAATTTTGCTCAGAGTTCTATAATTGTATAATACCAGCATTTATAAAACATATTTGTTAGCCAGAAGCAAACAAAACAAAGTAAAAAAAAAAAATAAGGAAAATGTTACAAGGAACAAAATGGGTTATTTTGCATTAATTTAATGTTGATGAGTAGTGGTTTTAAATGTACTTTTTAAAAAATGATTTTAAATGTATTTTGATGTATAATAATTAATAATAGGATTTGGGACTATATTTAGTAAAACATCTGTAAAGAATTAGGAATTGATACGTGTTTTATGATCAACAGTTTTCTAATCAACAGAAAACTGAGAATTAGAAATTAATTTGTTGGGACTTTTAGTGATATTACAAGAGGATAAATTAGTGTTAAGTCATGAAAAGCTTAAATTATAGAATTACAGGGCAAAAGGAGTTTAGAAGTGTCCTTCTTTATGTTGATAATGACTTTTAACAGTTATTAAAGCTGTGTAATTCTGAATTTTTACCTGAAAGAGGAAAATGGGTTGAAAAGGACCGTAGGACATAACACATAAAAGTGGACACAGGGAACCTACTTAGGCAATGATTAGAACTGTCCACATGGGAAATGATGCTAGATTGTACCAGACGTGTGTATGTGAAAGTATGTGTGTGTGCACTTACCTGTGTATAAAGAGTGAGAGGCACAGAGAGAACATAATAAATACCTTGATGGGCAAATGGACAAATTTCAAATATGCCAAGCATTTGAAGCATGCACCTGCAGTTTATTTGATGACTGAAAAGTTTCATTTATAATTTTTTAATGTTTACGCTCATGATATTTTGTGAGAGAGAAGAAGAATGCAGGAAGGTATAGGCAGGAAAAAAGCAAAAACCAGCCTATCCATTTCACCACCATGAGATAATGACTATTAGCATTTGGTGTCTTTCCTTCCAATTTTTTTCTACGAATATAGTTTTATGTGTATACACATGCACATCAAGAACTGTGAGGATTCTGAGATTTTTCCTTAGTGACATGCTAACAGGTTAGCCTGCCTCAGTTTCATGGATGCAGGTAGATGACCAGAGACTTTGAGGTCAGAAACAAAGGACTTCATTGCTCAAGGTGCAGAGAACAGTGTCAGCATATTTATGTCAGTTCTCCTTTCCTCAAGCCCCATGGAGGCAAGGCAGAGGGGTGAGATGAATAGCTGTACCTACTGTGGGTTGCATTACAAGAGAAGAACCCTGAGCTTACAGAACCCGAATCTTTTATAATGGCAGTAATATGACTGCCCTTTGCTCTGGACGGAGATGCTATTATATGAGGGCAGTAAGCATGTCTACCCTTTGATCCTAAGGGAGAAACTATCTTTCTTCCAAGGCCATTCACTATACAAACATTCTGGAAAGGTTGTGGGAAAAGAAGATGGTGCCTTTGCTTGTAAAATGTGCAGAAATATGAGACACATGGAGAATTGTCTCTCAACAAATAAATGTTTTCACAGATCTTTTTTCATGAGCATTTTAAATGCTGCATATAGCTGTAAAGTGAAATATGGAGGGGCACCTGGGTGGCTCAGTCGCTTAAGTGTCTGACTTCGGCTCAGGTCATGATCTCAGAGTCCTGGCCTTAGAATCAAGCCCCACGCCCCACACTGAGCTCTACAGTCAGTGGGGAGTCTGGCACTCTTGCTGGCACATGCACGCTTGCTCTTTCTCTCAAACAAATAAAATCTTTTTAAAAGGGTGAAATGTGGAGATACAGCATAGTCTATGATCAATCTCCAAATTTCCTACTAATGATTTCTTAGGTTGTTTCCATTAAAAAAGCTTCACATGGACATTTCAATTTGGGGCAGAGTGGGGTAAAATATTACAGTCACCTTAGGTGTGTGGTAGTTAAGTTGGAGTAGGTAGCGAATGGGCTCTCTCTGATCTGAAGGCTGTGCAGCCTCTTCAGCTTGGCTTTATGTACAAATATGCATGAGCTGTGAATAGTAAGTATGTCTGTTGTCTCAAGATGTTATCCAGAAGGAGACAGGCTGTGTGAAGCTGGATTTGAATGCTGCTGTTGATAGTCCAGCCTGCACTGGTTTTCTTCTGGGAAGTGGACATATTCCCTGACATTTCTGCTGCTCACATGTCTGACTGAGTCCCCAACAGAAGCTCCTACTGCCTGCCATTAGCAGGGCCCAGAGAAGGGGGAAAATCTGAGATCCAAATAATGACCATCTTGTTCAAACATCTGGAGGGGGCCTGGTCTGGAGGGGTTCTGGTCTGGAAATTAAGAAAGACAAAACAGGATCATGACCAGGTTTTAGTCCTGGGACTTGTATGCAAAGAAAATATCCAATACAGAGGCTTTCCCAGGGCTGTGAGGTCTTACAAGGTATCTAGGATGTGGCAGAAGTGACGCAGATTGAGACAAGACTTCCTTAGTGTGAAGAAAGACTAAATGAAGACACCTGGAGAGCCATTTTCTAGTTAGAAACAGTCCCCCCAAATTCCATGTTGAAATTTGCAACAGATGTTGCCAGAATATTGAACTGTAAAATGGGAGGAGGCAACTCTAAGCAATAATCAGAGATTAAGGGGTCAAAGCATTGTAATTTTTTTTTTTAGAGGGTGAAGAGGGGCAGAGGGAGAAGATCTCAAGCAGGCTCCACACCCAGCATGGAGCCCTACCTGGAGCTCAATCTCATGTCCCTGAGATCATGACCTGAGCTGAAGGCAGACGCTTAACTGACTGAGTCATCCAAGCGCCCGAAAAGACATTCCTTACCTAAACTGATCTACTGCGATGAGACTTCTCCTAACCATCAGCAACTATTCCTGCAACCCACTGGTCTCCCTAGAAGTAATCTTTAAAAACATTATCAATTTTGGGGCTCCTGGGTGGCTGAGTCAGTTGGGTGGCTGACTGAGTCCTGCTTTGGGCTCCCTGCTCACTGGGGAGTCTGCTTCTCCCTCTGCTCTTCCCCCTGCTCATGCTCTCTCTTTCTCTCAAAAATAAATAAATAAATCTTTTAAAAATGTTTAGATAAGGAATGTATTTTGGAGTAAAACCTACTGAAGTTTTGATGGAGTGTCTCTGGGAAGAGAAGAAAGGGAAGGAATCAAGGATGACTTCTGGGTTTGGGGCTTGGGCTACTCAGTGGATGGTGGTATAATTACTAGATAAGAAGGCTGAGGAAGGAATGATTTTTGGTGGAAGAGCAGGAAAGCATCATTAATTACATTGAGAATGAAAAGCACTACCCTACTAAATATCTCGGCCCCTTCAAAAGAAAATCTTGCATGAAAAAAAATGATATTGATATTTAAATTGTTGGCCAGTATTGTTGGGTTGTCTTGGAGCACCTAGAACTTTGCTTGGCAAATGGCTGGATGGGTGGATGGATGGATGGATGGATGGATGGATGGATGGATGGATGGATGGATTAAAGTGTCCTAGAAGTGAATGCTCATATTGACTCCCTCCATTTCTAATTTGCAGCTTTGTCTGTGAAACAATGAAAGATGACTCCTTCAGAGGAACCAGTGCATGCATCTCAGGGATTCTGACCCAGAATACTTTGTCCATTCTGAGAATCAAAGAGTTAGTTTGTCTTAAACATTGTCCATAATTCCTTCCCATTAAGACAGTGTTCTGTGGTTCATTTCAACTGTAAATGACAATTATTTTTTTTTACACTTCATAAAAATGATCACAATAATTTTTATTTTACCAGACAGGAAGCGCTGCTTGCGGCAATCAGTGAAAAAGATGCAAATATTGCCTTGCTGGAATTGTCTGCTTCCAAAAAGAAAAAGACGCAGGAAGAAGTTATGGCCCTCAAGCGGGAAAAAGATCGACTCGTGCATCAGTTAAAGCAGCAGGTGGGGCCTCCTGCACGAAAGGTGTGTTTTGCTGGTTTTGGGGCCTTGGGTGCTTTCTCTGGGTTTAGCTACTCTGCATTCTCCCATGTCCATCGTGCCGGCTCAAGCAGCTAAAACCAGGTAGGAATGAAATGGCCCAAGTTGTTGCTGGAACATCATTTTACTGCTTTTCTGTGTTTATGTGCATGTGCCTGGGCTTGTGTGGTTTGCAGCCAGCGCTATTTTCCTTTCTTTTATATTCACATCATCTCCCCAGAAATAGCTCTCAGGTCTCTTCCTTCCAATGGACTTTGTATGATTTCTGACTAAATCTTAGAAACTACTAATTAAATTCTGGGCACCTTCGTTACCTTCTGTCTTGCTCACATTCTGGGCCCCATCAGTAACTCTCCTCATCTAGTTCTTTAGATTTCTTTCTTTCCATACTTCCAACCTTGGTTCTTCAACTAGTTTCTTTAGGACCTTTCAACTAAGGAACATCTCCCAGCCCCTAGCACTGCCAGACTATGCTTGGAGACCTCCCCAGCCATTATTTAGTTAAACATTTTTTAATCACCTATTTACTCAATTATCCATCTTTTTCCTCCTCTCTAGGCCACTGTATTTCTTCTGAGGGAAAGGAAAGGAGGGAAAAATGAAGGAGGGGCAAAGTCCTAACTTGTACAGAAAGCAGTTCTTTTCTTTTTGGAGGGTTTTCTGGAAGTGGTTTGAATGGAAACTGCACCTGAAGCATATTGCAAAATCATTCCTGAAATCTTCAGACCTTATTTCTTCTCCATATAGAACTTGGGGGCTTTTGGAAGCAATGGTTAAAGATACTCACTTGGATTCTAACTTCATTATGAAACCAACTCAGCATATATTATGACTCAGTGGTCTGTAGTCTCACAAGGTGGCTGTCACATCTTAGCTTGGGCCACATGTGGCTCTGAAGCTCTCTAAATGCCACATGGTGCCACATGGAGTGGGTCCACATCAATTTCAGCCCCCAGGACTGGTTCTCTGTCTGCTAGGGTGATCTGGGCATAGAGTGCAAGGTGAGTGGAAGAGAAGCCCAAAGAAATAAGTCCCTTCCCTTCACAAATGGGCCAACCCTTTCCCTCCTCAGGAAAGAAAAGGCATCCTTTGACCCTAAACCAGAGTCCATTTCTCATAGGGCTGCCTTGCTGAGAGAGAGAGACCACTGCCATGCCTGGGTGCCCTCTCCTGCAGAGGGAGGGTCCCAGTCACTGCCAGACATCGGGGTCATTCCACAGAGCAGCATGCCTCGCTAGCGCTGGCCCTGGGGGTTGGGAACCGCTTACATCTGACCTCTTCGTTTGGGGCTGTGCATCTTCTACACTGGGTTTCCACCCACCTGGCCACAGAAAGTCAAGACAAGCCCCCTTCTTTGCTTTCTCCTAACTCCTTCCCTGTGAGCCCTGAGCCCTCCCCTCCTGCACCTAACCATTGTAGCTTTCTCCCACAGGTATATAGACCTAGGAAACAGCCCCTGAGCTCGAATATACCATGCACTTGTGATGCTGGCTACAGCCCAGATATTACGGCCAAGTACCACGGGTCCAGCTACGATGCATACATGATCCAAAGGTCTCAGGTCAGTCAGTAGCTAAGGAGACACTTGCCCCCACCGTGGGGGTTGGGGGGTGCATAACAGCCACATCCTGCCTTGCCCTTTACCTCTTTTAATGATTTCCAGTACTTGGTGGCCAAAAATCCTGAGACCATAGATGATGGCATTATATCTTGACTTGTAATGTGATTTCATTTATTATGTATTTGCCAAGGGTTCCAGACTTGGTGGCTACCCTATGGGGCCAGCTCTTCTGAAAAGGCCTGGCATTGCTGCAAAGCCAAGACTGCCAGAGGCCTTATTGTCAGGCATAGTGGATTATATTTTTCTTTCTGTCTCTCAGTTACCTTGCTCCCCAGATCTCCCTCTACTTTTCCCAGTAAGGAATTTTTTTAAGGCTGTTTTTTTTTTCTTTCTCAGCATCATGAAAATGCACTCCTGGATTCCAGGAAGGATTGAGTGTAGCCCTTCAATTTGCTCCTGGGAAACTGCACAAAGCCTTCATTATTCACGACAGGCTTGGTTTTGGGTATCTTGGGGCACATTTGGGAAACCCCAGCCATGCAGAGTTAGGCTTCTGCCTGAACTAAGGCAGGATCTGAAGGGCTGTTGTGGGAAAAAAGAAGGCAGCAAACAAGAAGGATGGGTTCCTCAATTATTTAGGTTTGAAATCCTTACCCACACCCTGTAGGCAACAGAGGAAAAAAAAAAAACCACATGAATTGATGTACCCTTGTTGTAAATGATATGATTCTAAGAATAATGATTAATTGGCTTATAAAAGTGCTCCCTTTTTATTGAGTGTTTGCTCTGTGCCAGGATGTGTATCCAGTGTCCCTCGGGAACTTTGTCCCATGGTCCTCACAGCAGCCCTGTGGTGTGGGTGGCAGATTACCTCCCTTTTCCAGGGGGCGTAACTGAGACTCAGAGTGTGGAATAACCAGCCTAAAACAATTTATAAGCAATAGAGCTTGGGTTTTGGATAGTCCATCTGAGTCCACACATACCCTACCAGGTTCAGAAAGGAATTCAGAGTGACAAGCAGAAGGGTATTCCAGAACCTGTGGGGTCCCCTTACCTTTGTAAGCTTGAAGTAGATGCCATTTAAGAATGGTCTCTGGCTATTCATAAGGGGTGGGTTCAGCCTAGAGCACTTAGGCTTAAGCTATTTGATCATGTCAGTAATTCTAATACTTCTGAGTTCTCACCACATGCCAGGCATGGGTGTAAAGGTTTTACATACACTGACTCATCAACTCCCAACAAAACTGAAGGGCTGATGCTCTTATAGGAGAAAGAACCACAGGTCCAGAGAGGTTGGGTGCCTTGCTCAGGCTTCACAGGTGGACATTCTATGATGCTTGAAAAGACCCTTTTCCACACAACCATGACCGTATTTTACAGCTGCCATCTAGAGTTGGACTGCTTAGGGTTACTCTTGTTTGAGCACTTGTTAGCTGTGTGATCATGGGCAAAATACTAAACCTCCATAAACCTCAGTTTCCTTGTCTGTAAATTGGGCTAATACTCTAATTCCAAGTATTGTGAGTATAATGTATATGAAGAGCTTTGCACATGCCTAGTACATAATAGGTGCTGTATATTTATGAGCTGCTATTATTACTACTACTACTACTACTATTACTAATTGATTTTATCACCACCAACCCTTAGAGGTAGTTTGAGTTTGGGAGTCATAACTTGTTGAGAACACACTCTTGAACTGTGGGAGAAAGAGCAGACAGACATTATTACCTAAGTGTTCCTGGTCCTCCCTCCCTTAAAGCCCAAGCACTTGGGGAGCAGTGAACAGTCATGCCAAGAACCATAGACCCCAGCACCCAGTGTGCACTGAAGAGGCTCATAGTGCTTATTAAATTTGCTTGGTTTGTGTATGCAGTCACATAGAGTCAATCAGAGAGGGCACCCCTGGGAGAGCGAGTCCCAGACCTCAGCTGTCACCACCTGCATGAGTGACCTGGGAGGGCAGAGCTCTTTTAGGTGTCTAGGCCAATGGGAGGGGAAGGCCTGGGTCTGGGTGTTCATCTGCACAATGTTCTGTGAGGATACTGAAGCAGACTGGCTCATGAGAGATGCCACCCTCTTCAGGCTGCCTTCCGCTCAGCTCATCTCATGCAGGTCTTTCTACTGCCCGTGACATTCCCTGTGACTGAACATCAGCAGCTCATTCAACAATCCCCACAGTTATTGCACTTTGCCAAGAACATAGCGGGAACTCAATAAATATTTATTTTGTGAATGAATGCATGATTACCACATGCCAGGCTCTATGCCAAGTGCTTTATGTATACATAAGTTTACAAACATTATCTCTCTTTTTCCTCGTAATCAACCAACCAACATATTGCATATCTGCCATGTGCCAGGCTCTCTGCCAGGTCCTGGGGATTCATCCATAACAGTTATTTTATCTGCTGCAATGAGGAGAGTGTCATTCTTATTTTTGAGTTGATCAAACCAAGGCTCCAAGAGACCACATGATGCAACTACCATACTTATACATGACACCCATACCCGGAAGTGCAGGGTTGGGCTTCTGAGATGTAGAAGTGCTGACACTTTGCTCTTAGCTAGGCTAGATGCTGCATCCTTAAAGCAATAGGGTGAGCCATGGATTAGCCCCCACACCTCACAGATGTTGTCAGAGGACTCAAGTTCCAATGCCTCAGTCTGTGGCTCCCAAGCTGCCCAGGGGCACAAGGGTGAGAAAATATAGGTAGCTTAGTGAGGCCAAGTACCATGTTGGAATTCAACTCAACAATATTCATTGAGTGCCTTCCCTGTATTAGGGATGGTGAGGCACTTTTGGAATACATCAGTGACCAAAATAAATAAAGACGCCTTCCTAGTGGAGCTTATGTTTTAATGGTTGGGGTGGGGGGGATGGGAGAAAGGCAGTAAACCTGAACATAATAAATAAGCAAATTACATGGTAAAAAAAGAACAATGTAGACCAGTATAAGGGAGAACAGGAATGTCAGGGAAGGATTGAGGACATGGTAACAATGTAAAATAGGGTAGACAAATGGGCCTCATTGGGAAGGACACACTTGAGCAAAGACTTGAAGGAGATGAGAGAGGGAGAGCCCTTTAGATATCTAGGGGAAGAGTGTTTTGGCAGAGGGAATCGCTAGTGCAAAGCCCTAAGGCAGGAACATGCTGGTGTGTTTGGGGAAGAACAGGGAAACCAGTGTGGCTGGAGTAGAGTAGGCAAGGAGGTGAAGAGGTGAGCGGTCAGAGCAGTAAATGGGGTGGGGATAGGATGTGTAGGGCTCTTGGGCAGGATCTGCTGAGAGTGGTACATTCTGGAGCAGAAGTTCTCTGCAGTTAGGAAACAAAATACATGAGCCATGCAAACTCAGAGCAGGGAGGGCTCTCAGGTACCACTCGGAGTGCCCTGTCTAAGACTGCCTTACTTGAGCCCACTCTCCAGATCCCCTGCCTTCAGCTTCTAAGGAGCTCCAGTGCATAGCTTGTGTTTGTAAAAAGCATTGCCATTTCCACTGGAGCCATGAAGAACTAATACCAGAATTTGCTTGTCATGGCTAGTGAGATTTTTGAGTGGGAGCAGAGCCCTTTGACAAAATGCCCTCCCTGACTTTCTGGCAATCTCAACAACACACCACTGGAGTCTAAATCCTTCACTCTCCTTGCTGTAAGGAGACAGGCAGGTGTTTAATGGCCACCACCATGCCATTGGCCTACTCAGGGTGATGGCTGTGCCTAGGGGAAGTGCAGCCTGCCTCCAGGCCAAGGCAGAGATTCACAAACCTCGGTGGGCAGAAGCTTGATCTTTTCTAAAGATGTATCTCATGATACACTTATCACTCTCCAGCCCTTACTGCTGGAAAATCTTCCCTGGCTTCCTTTACTGGTGCGATAAAGACACATTCAAACCAATATGCGCTCTGCCTTGTACATGCAGTGCAATCCCCTCTGCCTGGAATACATTTCCTTCTTTTCCTCACCTAGTTAATGCCCATTCACCCATTCAATCTCAATCCAACATCACTTTTTTCAGGGAAGCTTTCTGGGACTTTCTCAATTATGTCAAATCTCCAGTTTGGTACTCCTGTAGAATGTGTACATCACTTAATTGCACTGTAACAGATGCAATTTTGCATTTGTTTTTGTGTTTATTTGAATAGTAACTATCTGCCCTGCTAGTTTTATGAGCTCCATGAGGACTAAGAATGTGACCCTGTGACTTTTTTTGTTGACCATTTATCTCCAGGCCTAGCACAATTGCTAGCACATAGTGGGCATTTAGTAAATATTTGTTGCAAATAGAAATGAATGAGTGGGTGAATTGCCAGGGCAGCTTGTTAAAAAGAAAAGAGACGTTATTGATCAATCATGACTTTAGACAAAACTTAGCATTATGATTCTTCTCACCCCAGTATTCCAGGCAGCTACCACCTATAGGAGTTGGTAGAGATATGAGACTTTTTTGCCAAGTGATGACCACAAAATGGTGTCATGTCCTTTCCTGCCATGTTGCAAGATATGGAGATGCCTTGTCCCATACTTGAATTTTGTGCAGTGGTGGCCATTTTGAACCTTTCTTCTGAATCTGTTCTCTGTATTTTAGTTCAAATCCCCTCCAAATTTGGGGATTCTTCTTGAATAAAATGTCACTGAGTTTCCATATGTGGCAAAGGTTACTTGTTGTTATGAAGGGCCCTCTACTTCGTCCCTGAAAGCCTCTGAGTGTCATAAATCAATTTGCCTAGAAATACCTAAACTCCTGTTAAACATCTGTCAAGAGAGCTAGAGAAGGTGATATGAAATGAGTTCAGAAATTCCAACTATGCTTAACAACAAAAGAATCTTTATGACGCTCTTCAGGTGTTGACATTTGGGTTGGTTCTAGGCTGAGCAAGGTATAAAGCTGAGAGAGCAATACAAATTAACTTTCTGTTGCATAAAAAGAGATAAAGGATTAATCATAGCTTGGTAGTAGATAGATAAGTCTGTCCAACTTTTGTATTCTTCCCAGTTGC